TTGTGTCCTTATGAGTCAGCACCCAAACACTCCCCTGCTTTCCTCCTCCCCATCACTGCAATGCAGGACATCTTCCGCTCCTGTGGACACTTTCACCTTCCTAATGGAAACACAGTAACATTGCCCTGTTGCCTCCCTGGATTTGTGGTTAAATTGCTTTGTCAATGTAACCTTATCACTTAATGACCAACTAATGTCGTGCAACAGGAGCTGCGGAAGGACTCGCTGGGTATCATTTCACTGGCATTGTGAAGCCATTGGAACGTGATCCCCGTTCCACTGGCATCTGCATTAACATTGTTTGGCCACCATAATCCCACCCAGTTAATCACAGTTTTAGGATATTAAAATAGGTCTCACTATAGCCTGAGTTGTAACTCCTCCATCCCCAAAGGGTTGCATGGGTTTAGCTCTGTTAAAGCCAACAGTCACTGGGTGAAACAACAGCAATACACAGTAACTTGGCTGATCTTTTTCAGCCACCAAACCTTGTTCCTTAGTGGCCAAGCAGGGACGTTGCTAAATCCACAGCAAGAGACATGAGAAATAGCTCCTGTTATTTTGGGTGAGCAGTTCAATTCTCACTTCTCCATCTATTAACCACAATGGCTGTTCTTGGAAGACATGCTGCCTTTAGGAACCAGACTGCCGCAGGCAGAGAGGATCCCAGGGTGTTTGGGTTCCTGTTGTGCTTGGTGCTGAATACCCTGTAAAGAGAGCATCAGTTATCCCTACGGAGCTCTCATTGATGCTCTGTACCTGTGCTGAGGGCTGAGCAAGCTGCAGTGTTTAACAATGTTCAATTTTCCTCCCTCTTCCAAATTTCACTGTTTTTCTCATTTTCTGCAGCCGTGAGCACAGCGCAAGGCTTCTGGTGCAGGATTTAAATAGACTCGAGGTGGGAGGCGAGAAATATTCCCTTAATGTAGAGAGAAACTGAGGCACGGAGAGATTGAAGGTTTCACTCCACGACTGAGATACACATGGAGTCTGACTAACACAGGCACAGGAATGCTGTGTGCTCTAGAGCTGGAGCACTAAACTCATGCTGAGCAATGAAGATGCAGGTCCCATCCCTCTTTCTGCCTCCATGGGTGGCACCGGTGGAGAATTTGTCTTATCCCAGCTGTTATCCCAGAGCTTTTGTGGCTTGTAGAGGAGATGGAATGCCAGATTTCTGGGAATGGGGTCAGTGACCCCATCCCAGTGTACACTGGGATAACATCACAGCTCTCCTGGAAGGATGTGAGCCTCAGGGACTGTGGGATGCTCCCATCTCCTGTCTCCATGAAGGAGAAGGTGAGGATGGCAGGACTGCCCAGGCTGAGCCTGAAGTTGTGTTGTTTGACTTATTCCCCAGTTGCTAAGCAAATAGTCCTCATTAAATCAGGGATAATCTGCTGGGGAAGAACCCGTTGAAGGCTCAGGGAGGGCTGAAGGTGGCTGAACCAACCAAAACAGAGCAGGGTTAGAGCATCCATCCATGTGTTTTAGTTGTCTAATGTACATTTTAGCTGTACAGGCTCCAAGTTAATCTTGCAAAGATGGGTTGGTGCTGAACTCTCTGACACCAACATTTCTGTCTGCAAAGGCTCTGGGCAGTGATCAGTGACCCGAGTGACAACCTGGAGCCTGGATCTGTAACGTTTGTCTGTGTTATGAGCAGCAGAGGTAGAGGTCATGTTTCTCATGCCATGAGAAACCCTGTCAGTGGGTTAATGCTGTGCTGCCTCTCTGGAGCAGTTGGAGCTTTGTGTGCTCCCTGCCATGGGAGGAGAGACACTGCATTTAGAGTGCATTAAGGTATTACTGTCACAACCTCTGAGCTGAGAGGTTTCTGATCCTCCGAAATGAGGAGGAACAGATTTGTCCCAGATTTCTCAATGGAGGCAGGTTCCCATTCCAGCAGAAGGAGGGAAGTGCAGGGCAGATGCTGCTGCTGCAGCATCAGGTGCTGAACCCTTCTGCTCAGCTGCTAATGGGGGATGAGGAGAGGTTTGGTGGGAGATGGACAACCCCAAAAGAATGCTTGAGAAGCAATGGGGTTCAGCAGGAAGGAGGCGAGATGTCAAGGAGGAAGCAGGGTGCTAAAGCAGCCCCGTGCCAGGGAATAGCTGGGGGTTGGGTTGAAGGTCCTGAGCTGTTTGTGCTTTCACACTTAAACAGGGGAGATTTAGGTTGGATTTAAGGCAGGAGCTCTTCCCTGTGAGGGTGCTGAGGCGCTGGCACAGGGTGCCCAGAGAAGCTGTGGCTGCCCCATCCCTGGCAGTGCTCAAGGCCAGGTTGGACACAGGGGCTTGGAGCAAGCTGCTCCAGTGGAAGGGGTCCCTCCCTGTGGCAGGGGTTGGGGCTGGAGGAGCTTTAAGGTCCCTTCCAACACAAATCATTCCATGACTATGATTCTATGTTTTGTGCTGCCCTGTCCCCCTCGGGAGGGATGCTGGGGGGGATCCCTCATAGTCCAGGTCTGGCTGTGGGAAGAGGGAAGCTGTGTGTCCCTTCTACTTGGAAATCCACCCTGAAAAGGCCATTAAAGAGGGAAGAGAGTGATGTTTGTTCTGCTGCTTTGTACAAACTGCATCTGATGTTACAGGTCATCGCCTAGAGCATTGCACAAGGGGGTTTCTTAAATGGCTGTTAGAATGAAATCACATTTGTTGAGACCAGATGCAGCAGGAAACCTTGATGGAAAAGCAAAGGGAACCAGGCAGTGGGAGGACTGGGACCTGTTGCATTAGACACAACAGTTCAGCTGATGGTGGCTGATGCCATGCAGGAGGTGATGCTGTTGCTGTACCCCCGATACTGAACCAAACCTTGGTTCGTGACAGGACCTCACGAGAAGGAAGCAGCTGAGGGGACCACCAAGGAGGAGGTGATGCTGCTGACCTGCAGCAGATTCACTGCTTTTGACGGGATCATGGGAAGCAGCAGAGGAGCAAACAGGGCCAGTGCCTGGGGCCAATGGGCTGTAGCCCCTGGAGAAATCCTTTGAGGCACTGAGATGCCAAACCAAAGCTGCCCAGAGCTCGCTGGTTATTGTGCTGTGCTGCAGCTGAAGGGGCTAAGGGCTTAATCCTCCTCCTGGTTTTAAGGGGAGGGCTTTTCCTAGCAGCATGACAGAGGTTTATGGATCTCTGTTTCTGATGATTTTGCCCCTGCTGAGATCCAAACTGTTGCCCTTATGGAAGTTGTCTCCAGCCTTTTGTCATCACTAAATGTTCATAGTTGAAAGCAGCCGTGTTTGTTTGCCATAGACCAGATGACAATGATTTATTGACAGGAAACCTGGCAAAGAGATGAGCCAGACAAGTCTTCAACTGCTACACACGTGGATGTAGTGAGATGATGGCTATTTCACGGTTATGAAACCTGCGGCAGATAGGGCCTCACACTTGGATGTGAACTGTTGTTTCCAGGCATTTTTCTCAACCTGCGAGCATCAGGAGCAGCTCAAGGGTTAATCATAGAATCCCAGACTGGTTTGTGTTGAAAAGGACCTCAAAGCTCCTCCAGCTCCAACCCCTGCCACAGGCAGGGACCCCTTCCACTGGCGCAGCTTGCTCCAAGCCCCTGTGTCCAACCTGGCCTTGAGCACTGCCAGGGATGGGCAGCCACAGCTTCTCTGGGCACCCTGTGCCAGCGCCTCAGCACCCTCACAGGGAAGAGCTTCTGCCTAAGAGCTCAGCTCAGTCTCCCCTTTTATGTCTGAAAACTTAAACGTCCCCCCTGAGCCTTCTCTTCTCCACACTGAACCCCCCAGGTCCCTCAGCCCTTCCCCATCACACTTGTGCTCCAGGCCCTGCCCCAGCTCCGCTGCCCTTCTCTGGCCCCGCTCCAGCCCCTCAAGGTCTCTCCTGTAGTGAGGGGCCCAGAGCTGAACACAGGATTCGAGGTGCGGCCTCACCAGTGCCCAGTGCGGGGGCTCAATCCCTGCCCTGGCCCTGCTGCCGCACTGGTGCTGGTACAGGGCAGGTTGCTGGGGGCTGCTTGGCTGCCTGGGCACAAGCTGCTCCTGTTCAGCTCCATCACTCAGCACCCCCAGTTCCTTTCCCTGAGCAGTTTCCAGCCGCTCTTCCCAAGCCTGGGGCGTTGCAGGGATTTGTTGTGGCCCAGGTGCAGGACCGAGCCCTTTGCCTTGAACCTCATCCCATTGGCCACAGCCCATAGATCCAGCCTGCACAGATTCTTCTGCAGAGCCTTCCTATCAAATAGGAATGGCAGCACGGCCTCTTTCTAACTCTCATGGTCAAGGTCTTTCCCAAAGCCAGGAGCTCCCTGACCTGCCCAAATCCCACTTGGCCTGTGGATGGGCATTAAAGCGCTTCTGCTGTTGGGGTGTGGGAAAACAGGGAACCATTGGGGGTGAAGGGATCAGAAGTTTTCCCTGGAGCACATCTCCAGGGGATGCAGCATTTTCCAGCACTGGCTCCTACAGAGCCAAAAAACCCCAACCCTTTTGACCAGAACTGAACTATTTCCATCAGATCAGCTGAAGGGGGAAAGCAGCAAAACTCAGAGCCTTTTTTCCTTGCAGGAAATCTGAAATGCAGGTTTGGGATCAAACTGAAGCTGCCTCGCTCAGGCTGGCTCAGCTTCACTTCTCTTTTCCCGGGGGGATGCACACACACATGCGTGTGCAAACACACACATGCACACGCATGTTTACACACACACGTGCATGCAGACACACGCACACGCTCTGTCTTCTGTACAGCAAACAAATACCCCAGCACCAGTCAAAACAGTGATTCAGAGCAACTGTTGATGGCTGTGGCTGTTGCTGCTGCTTTCCCTCACCCACAGCCCCACCACGGCTGGAAACAGCAAGTGGAAACCAACAGCAGACAGCGAAATTAAGAAGGAAAAATCACATTTCCCCTTCCCATGGGAAGGGCAGGAGCCCTCTTCCCAGGCAGTGGTTCTGCCAGGAATGAAACCTCTGCCTGTCCGCAACGCGCTGAGCACCAAAGGATGCTCCGGGAGCTTGGCACTGGGAAGGGTGCTGTGGGGCAGCGCTGGGTGCTGTGGGGCAGGTCGGGGTGCTGTGGGGCAGCGCTGGGTGCCGTGGGGCAGGTCGGGGTGCTGTGGGTGTCTCTGTAGCGGTGACTGATCGGGGCGGCGCCAGCGCTGGGGGCGGACTATTTGAGCGGAGCCTCCGCTCCTCAGAGCCGCGGCCGCCGCCGGAGCACTTGAGCGGCGGCTTCTCGCTCTCCGCCCGCAGGAGGAGGAAGAGGAGGAAGAAGAGGCTTCGCTGCCGCCTCTCCGCTCCTGCGCCCCTCTTCCCCTTCCGCCCCACACCTTTATGGACGAGCGCCGGAGCTTGCTCCACTCTCCGGCTGCCTCCTCCTGCAGCCGCCATCCGCGGGGCGGCTCGACCAGCAGCCACCACAACCTGGGCTACACCGAGCCGCTGCCCCCCGCCGCCCCGCAGCCGGCCCCCGAGCAAGAGGAGGAAGAAGGTGACGAAGGGGAGGAAGGCAGCATGACCGTGGTGGGAGGAGGAGGCGGCGGCGGCGGCGACCCTTTGCTGGAGGAGCCTCAGCAGCATCCTCACCCTGCGCTGGGGGGGGATCGCTACGATCACCCCCAGGCTCCGGCCGCCGTCCCCACGGGTCAGCCCGCGGGCGGGGGGGAGCACGAGTGCTGCGAGCGGGTGGTGATCAACATCTCGGGGCTGAGGTTTGAGACCCAGCTGAAGACCCTGGCGCAGTTCCCCGATACACTGCTGGGGGACCCTCGGAAGAGGATGCGCTACTTCGACCCCCTGCGCAACGAGTACTTCTTCGACCGAAACCGGCCCAGTTTCGACGCCATCCTCTACTACTACCAGTCGGGTGGGCGCATCCGGAGGCCCGTCAACGTCCCCATCGACATCTTCTCCGAGGAGATCCGCTTCTACCAGCTGGGGGAGGAGGCCATGGAGAAGTTCCGGGAGGATGAGGGGTTCATTCGGGAGGAGCAGCGACCGCTTCCCGACAAGGAGTTTCAGCGCCAAGTGTGGCTCCTCTTTGAGTATCCCGAGAGCTCTGGGCCAGCCCGAGGCATTGCTATTGTCTCTGTCCTGGTCATCCTTATCTCTATTGTCATCTTCTGTCTGGAGACCCTGCCAGAGTTCAGGGATGACCACGACTATGAGGGAACTGGGGGGACATTTGGAATGGGTGGTGGTCCTCTCCAACCTGATGTCTTCACCAACTCCTCGTCCCCAGCTACTTCCATGGTGTCATCCTTCACCGACCCTTTCTTTGTGGTGGAGACTTTGTGCATCATCTGGTTCTCCTTTGAGCTGCTGGTCCGTTTCTTTGCCTGCCCTAGCAAGGCCACCTTCTCCAAGAACATCATGAACATCATTGACATTGTGGCCATCATCCCCTACTTCATCACGCTGGGCACCGAGCTGGCTGAGAGGCAAGGCAACGGCCAGCAAGCCATGTCCTTGGCCATCCTCAGAGTCATCCGGCTGGTCAGGGTCTTCCGTATCTTCAAGCTGTCCCGGCACTCCAAGGGGCTGCAGATCCTGGGGCAGACCCTCAAGGCCAGCATGCGGGAGCTGGGCTTGCTCATCTTCTTCCTCTTCATCGGCGTCATCCTCTTCTCCAGCGCCGTCTACTTCGCAGAAGCTGATGACCCCAGTTCAGGTTTCAGTAGCATCCCTGATGCCTTCTGGTGGGCTGTGGTGACCATGACCACAGTGGGCTACGGGGACATGCACCCCATCACCATTGGGGGCAAGATCGTGGGGTCTCTCTGTGCCATCGCTGGGGTACTGACCATCGCCCTTCCCGTGCCTGTCATAGTCTCCAATTTCAACTACTTCTACCACCGGGAGACAGAAGGTGAGGAGCAAGCCCAGTACATGCACGTCGGGAGCTGCCAGCACCTCTCCTCCAGCGAGGAGATGAGGAAGGCTCGCAGCAATTCCACCCTCAGCAAGTCCGAGTACATGGTGATCGAGGAAGGGGGGATCAACCACAGTGCATTCAAACAGGCTGCCTTTAAAGCAGGCAACTGCACAACCACGAACAATCCCAACTGTGTGAACATCAAAAAGATCTTTACGGATGTTTAAAAATCAGCACTCCCCCCCCCTTCCCTAAACCAAACCCAACCAAACAGCAACAAAATCTGAGGGTGAGGTAAAAAATCAAACCAACAATAACGATGCAAAGTGACTGTGTCCTCGGTGTCGTGTGGAACATGCACCATCGTCGGTCTCTGTGTGCCCTCGGGTTTAGACGTTTATTTTTTTAGCTCCTTCCTTTCTAAAGAGCCAAATAAAGGATCTCGGATTCTCCGGAGGACGACGCAAAGATAAGAGAGGAGGAAGATGAAGACAAAACCCACTCGCTGCCCAAACAAGTGGTTGTTCTGCAACGTGTTGCAGGGCTGCTTTTGTTTTCTTGGCTTTGGGGACGTCTCGCTTTGCTCCTGGATTTCTCCCCCTCTTTCCTTAAGGCAGCGTGTAGCTGATTTCCCTTCCATCACATAAGCTCACTTGTTGGATTAACAACCCCGGACTGGGTGGGGAGACGAGGAAAACATGTTGCAGAGCATGCTGGAAGGGGGGTGGGAGGAAATGACCATTTAATTTTACAGAGCCTCTGTTACCACATTGTTAAATGATGCTTCATATCAAAACGTGATGTGCTGCTACAGGCACATCACCGATTCCCTTTCTCCTTCTTTAGATCGTTCAGGAAATCCTAATCTGATGGGAGACCGAGGGCAGTCATTGCTGATTGAAATAGAGAAAACCAGCCCCCAAACCCTCATTTTCTGTTCTTAATTCCCTTCCTCTGTAACCCTTTGGCATCATTTCATCCAACACCAGATCTGTGGCCGTGCAGCAGGTCTGGGTGCGGGGAGGAGGGAGGAGAAAGGGGATGGTTACAGGAGCTGACGGTGCACAGGGAGCGATGCCAACGTGGACCAGGGGATGCAGGATCCATGATGGGCTCCTCTGCAGCCTCCAACAACCCAGCTGGAGACAAAGGGATATTTCCTCCTTGTGTTTTGGGTTTGGGAGAGATGCAGCCGCTTATCGCAAGGAGATTAAAGTGGCAAACACGCCTTCCAGCGGAAGTCACTGATTCGGACAGGAGCGATGCAGTTGCCATGGTGACCCTGGTTTCCTGGGAAACCCCCAAAGGTTGTCATGGCATCCCTTCTCCCATCCCCCTTGGGCCTCGCTCTTCCCACAAAAAAGCCTTTCCAGATGCTTCCAGCCCCGTCATCCCGCAGGACACCGCAGCTCGGCCACGCTACGTGACCCCATCCCCAGGCCATGGCCATGGTGTGGCTTCCCTCTGCTGAATAAAGCTCCCACAGGCAATAAGCACACCCCAGACCCACCGCTCCCTGCAGAGGAGCTCACACCTTGGCACTGAGAGTTGGAGATAGAGCCTCACCTGCAAACACCAAGAGCAACCTAGAGATCGCCCTGCACCCCATGAACCCCGGTGTATTCCCTAAATCCCATGTGAAATGGCTCCGAGCAGCAGTCGGGAAAGCTCGGCTGAGGAACTCCATCAGCTTTTGGAAACCAGATGTGTAAAGAGCAGGATGGAAAAGTAACCAAACCCCCGCCGGGATAAACACACCGGCTTCATCCTTACGTGTGCACCAGGGGCCACGGGACATCTGATGGGATCAGGTGAGCTTTGCACGGGATAGTTTAACAGCACCATGAAGTAATGTTGATTTTGGGGACAAACCTCATGCTTTCCAGTGGTTAACTTTATTTTTCCACTCCCCCTGCTGCTCTGGGATATTTCTGTGTTAAAGTGGGATAACATCCCCTAGCTCCTCTGATTATATTGGCTTTTTTAGTGCTACACACAGGAGGAAAACCCTGCTGCTTACTTTTTTGTGCAGCTGGATTTCTTCAGTTCTGGTGCTTAAAAGGTTCTTTGCAGCCATTTAATGCTTCAATCTGACCCCTGCCATCGAAGCAGGCTGAAAGCAGCACCTTGGCTTAGGCTCTGCTCTGTTCTGCTGGGGTTTGGGTTGAATAGAACCAGTTTCTCTCAAGGCAGTGTCCTGCACAGGGCAGGTAAATACCTTCTATGAAAAGGGAGATGTGCGAGTCAAACCTCTCTCATGTCTGTGGAAAGGGGAATTTGTCCTGAGAGATGCTGGAATCATAGTTTAGCTGGGATTTATCCACACTGAAAGGATCAGGACAGTTTGTAGCACTCTGCCTTAACCCCAGTTAATAAACCCCTTATAACCAGGGAAAACATCACAGCAGCCTCTTGACTAAATGTGACAGCTTTATTTGAGTTACTGTAGTTTTCAATGAACAAATGGTCCTTATGGGAGAGATGCTCTGGAGTATTTCAGGAGGTAACAAACCTGGGATCCCTTCTGGGATAACTGGGAACACCCCAGAGTGCCTTTTCCCCATAGCCAGTGGGCTGAAATGTCATTCCTGCCTCCAAGCTCTCACTTTGTCCTGTTGTTAGAGCTCTCTCCCAGTCCTACTCCTAAAAGGAGGATTTGAGTTTAAAAGCAGTGGAAACAGCCCCACTTGGGATTGTGTCTGCCTGTTCCCTGTGGCAGGAAACCACACATTCTCCGGGAAGTGGCACAGCAGTTTTTGGTTTCTCTGCCATCTAAAATAAGCGGAAACCTTGCAGGTTGCTCTTTGCTTTCCTGGCAAATCCTTGCCTGACTTCGTGAAGACAGAATAATTCCCAATGGATCTGATTGACAATAAAAGCTGCTGTTTGGGAGAAGTGGCGAAGAAACCACTTTATCCACTGGAGCAAAATGGCTTAGGGTGACGTGTCCCTGCTCATGGCAGGGGGTTGGAACTGGATGATCTTAAGGTCCTTTCCAACACAAACCAGTCTGGGATTCTGTGATTCCATGAAAAGGCAGCTTTACCCCAGTGCCAAATGCTGTCACTAACAACTGCTGTTCTGTCAAGATACACCCCAAAACCTGGCAGTGGAAACCCAGAGATACGCTTCCCATGGTCTGCTCCAGTTCTGTCTGCTTCTTCCCTTTGTGCTGCCCCATTAGGTACCATTCAGTCTGACAGCCTCTCTTGAACTGCCTCCTGCCTGTGCTGTGCCAGGAATTGGAGAGATCACGGAAGGATTGCTCTCTTTGCAGCCAGCTGCTTATTTAACTTCCTTTGCTGTCTTGCAATGTGCCTCCTATTAGGAGCTAGGACTGTTTTAACCATCACTGTGGAGTTAAAGACGAGCCTCAGCCTTTGCAGCATGCTGGACTCAACTGTTTCTAATGTGCTTAGAGGGGCAGCATTAGGAGATTAGTATTAGTGGAGCTGCCTGCCTGCTGTCTGCAAGGAGAAGGGCTTGCCTAGCCTCAGCTTATTACATTAGATGGAGGAAAGTGCATTACTGAAAGCTGCTGGCTGACATTTCAGATTGCACAGGCAGTGAGTGGGGGGGAGGCAGGGCCCTTGAAGCGTGTGGACTGTGTGTGGAGTCCTCAGCTTGTTGTTTGCCTGCACAGCGTGGCAGGGATGCTCTCCGAAATGTCCTCCTCCCATGTCCTTCCTACCTGTTGTATAAGAGAGAAGGTCACATTGATGGCACCAAGGGATGGGAGCAGGGAGATGCCACCCCTGCGATGCAGCCCCTGGATGCTTTGTATATTCAGTTTATATATGGGCACTGGGTGATAGAGAGCCTTGTACAGGCTCCTACCTCCTTTCCCAGGTGAATGTCCCTTTCCCTCTGCTTGGATTTTAGGACCTGTTCTCCCATTTCAACCCTGGATGCCACCTCAAAACACATCCTTGGTACCAGGGGATGCAGGGGACAAACAGCAACCCTAACCCTGGCCCCTCCACTGGGTTCTTTGGCACTCCCCCCTTTTTCTCTTGTTATTTTCCCTTTTGTGTGTGTTTTCAGGCCTGACTTCTGTTGTTCTCCAGCTCAATAGAAGCCCTTCAGGTGCTTGGGGTGGAGCGGGGCAGGATCCATCCCACCCTGTGTGTGGATGCTACCAAAGGCTGGAGATTCCTCTTTCCTCCAGGAGGGTTAAATTTCTCCCCAGGCAGTTGTTTCTGCTCCATCACTTGACAGAAGAAGTCGTTTCTGTTGTTAATCCCCAGTTGAGGGTCAGTTCAGCAGAGGCAAAGGGCAGATGAGGAGCTTCCCCAGCGGAGGGGAAGGAGCCATCCAGAGCACACCAGCAGTGGAAGGGTGTCTCCTGACAGAGCTGTAGGGCAGGGAAAGGGTCTCTTGCAGTGGTTGGTGTGTAGAGAGAGCGTTCTACACGGAATCTGTTTAATTGTGTAGTTTGGAGCCCTCTTCCTGCCAAGCCTTTAAAATCTGCATATCCTGGTGCGAGCACACGGAGGCTTCCAGCACAGCCCATGCTTTAACAAGTGATCTCTGGGTGTGCTGCAAAGCCAGGAGTGCAAGGAAACAGGATTTAAACGGCACTCGTTGTGCCCTTCGGTCTCAATTGCGTGTGCTGGGAGGCAGAGCTCAGTGCACCGGCAGCCTTGTGCAAAGGCAGTTGTATGGGCGATGGGTGCAGGAAAAGGGGTCTTTCTGGGCAGTATCCTATGAATTGTCTCTGTTACTGATGGTGCTGCCCTTCTGCACCCTTCCCTGCTGTGGGTTCTCAGCCGTAGTCTGAACGGGATGCTTGGCTCGACTCTGGGGGTGTATAGCTGGGATCTTTTACCCCGTCCTTGGCTTCCCAAACAGGAGAATGAGTAATGGTATCTCTGTCAAGGCAATATTCACCCCACCTGATGGGCCTGGATTCGCTGCTTTGCACTGGGACAGCATCAGCAATCCTGCTCTTTGTCACCCAGCAAATCCCGTTTTTGCTCATGAGAACCTTGCTCCATGTGGAGGAGGGATGTGTGTGGGGTCCCTGGTAGCTGGAGCTGTTTTATCCCTATTGCTGGCAAAACTCAGCCACAAACGCTCTGAGAAAATCCCCTGTAAGTTTTTCCTTCCATTTTAAGGCACTGCCTCATGAGGAGCACAACTTTCAGTGTCTGTCTGTGTCTCATCACCGCTCAGAGCCTGATTTTGCTGCTGAGGATGCTCTGCAGCTGGGCAGGGAAACCTTCACGCATGAACCTCCCCGCAGGGCACCGTCAGCTTTCTCCTTCTTATGAACCAGGACATGCTCAAGTAGATTAAAACATGTCTCCCATCTCATTCAGCTTGTCACTCGGGTTGGGAGCAGCTGAAACACTTCCCAATGGCCAGTATTCCCCTGCTCTTCACCTGACCCTGCTGCACACTGATCTCGAGACCCCAGCTCAGTGCTGCTGACAGCAGCCGGCGCTGCTGGGTTTGTTTAAGAATGATTCATTTCTTTAAGCCTTGTAACTCGGGTGCTTTTCTGAGCATGTTTAAGCTCTGTCGTGGCTGTTGCTTTTCTACAGTTGTTGCTCTTCATTTTTAGCATCTTTAACACATGCTGGGTGGGAAGACTTGCTTTGAGTGCATGGCTCGCACGACTAGACTAGCGAGTGGCTATCTCTGCTCTTGCTGGCAAGGATGCGGAGTGCAGTCAGGTTGCTTTTGATGCTGACCAGCACCAGCTGCTTTGCTTTGCTTCCTGTGAAGCAGCATCATGGATAGATACGGAAAATCCTTTGGGGTTGTGTCATGGTTCCATCGTGGCAGAAGCACTGAAGGCTCAGCCCAGGCTGAGAAACTGGGGCTGTTCAGCCTGGAGAAGAAAAGCTGCATGGAGACCTCAGAGCAGCTTCCAGTGTCTGAAGGGGGCTGCAAGGATGCTGGGGATGGACTCTTCATCAGGGGCTGTAGTGACAGGACAAGGGGTGATGGGTTCAAATTTAAGTAGGGGAGATTTACATTAGATATTAGGCAGAAGCTCTTCCCTGTGAGGGTGCTGAGGCGCTGGCACAGGGTGCCCAGAGAAGCTGTGGCTGCCCCATCCCTGGCAGTGCTCAAGGCCAGGTTGGACACAGGGGCTTGGAGCAAGCTGCTCCAGTGGAAGGGGTCCCTGCCCGTGGCATTGGTTGGAGCTGGAGGAGCTTTAAGGTCCCTTCCAACACAAACTGTCTGGGATTCCTGGGATTCTATATGAAGAAAAAGGGT